TGAATTCTGTATAATGGTAGAATTGCAAACTTTTTAAGAGAAAGGGTACCTCTCTGGAAACAGGAATAATTAGAAGAAGTGACGTGGACCTAGTTGAAATCTCTATAAATAAGATAGTGAATACATAATTTTGACCTGTTCCTACTTCCAGTCCCCTGTCCAAATTCCTCCACAGTTCTATAATCATCATCATCATCATCATTTTTATTTATAGTCCGCTATATCTCCCCAAAGGGATTCAGAGCAGATGTTGGATGTCAGCCTGTTCAGCCTGTAATTGTGTGTAATGATCAGGTTGCTTTGGATGATGGGAATGACAGTGTTGTGTCTAATAATCAGATTGCTTTGGATGATGGGAATGACATGTTTTTCATTTTCAAGTTGAATCCTCTGATGGGAATGGGGATGTTGTTCATGAAGATGTTTCTGAAGGGAATGGGGATTATGGTCTGTTTCCTGGGTCTAGTTTTAGGAATATGGGGCCTGTATGCAGTTCAGTTAATGGCTTAGACAGGCCTGTGTTGCTGCAAAGGGAATCTCAAGGTCTTGAGCCTGGGAGAAGCTCTGAGCTGCAGTCCCAGGGTCAGTTATCTCCAGGTGCAGATTTTAATGAAGCCTTGAACAGAAGAAGGGCTTTTAGCCAGCAGATACAAACAAATCAGAAATTAAGACGCTTAGCCAAATTAGAACAGAAGCTAGTAGAGAAACCAAAACTAAGGAAAAATCCATTCCTAGCTGTTTGGGAAACAAAGTAGATATATAGTTCTCCGTGCCATGTTCCTGGACCTTGGTCTTTGTTTGATTCCTGTTTAAGTGCCTTTGCTGTTGTTTTTGCCTTTGGAATCAAGCCTCTGGTTTAATGAACTTTCTGGAACTGTTTCTCTTTGGATTTATTTCTCTTTTTTACTTCTTAATCAATTGGATTTGCCTTTTTTGTGGATTACTTTTATTGCTTTGGCTTTTACTATCATCAATAAACTGCTTGCTATTTTAACTCAACTGTGTGATGTTGGGAGTCAGAGGGAATCCTTCTGTGGAGTACAACAGTGGATTTCAGAATACATATATGGCAAACATTCAGTGCCATTATACAATTGACAAAGACAGACAATGCATAGACAGAGGCAAGACTTTCCTCTTTCACTTCTGGCATCTGGAGGCTGTGCTCGACTTGACCATGGGGAGGTGCTGTTGTTCCATTTTTCTACGCGGAGGAGTCTATTTTCCATGGACATTTTCCTGATCGAATGTATCCCAACAGTGCAAATAAGGGAGAGCAACTCTAAATCAGTAGAAGTATAAGTACCAGTGTATGGTAGACCCCATACAATGTTTGAGGGTTACAAAAATACCATACCCTTCCTGAAAAGTGTGTATGGGGGGGGGGGGGATTCTACTTTCTCAAACTCTCTCAGGCCCGGGAGAGGCCTTTGTTTAAACAGAAAGTAAACAGAAGTGTCATTTTAATTTCTAGTTTGATAAAGTGGAATTTATTAGCATTGGTCTTCCATATCCACAGATTTGCATCAACCAAGAGAGGGTTATGTGCCAAAACTGATCATGTGCAAGGGTTTTTCTTAACAAAATGATTAAATAAATAGGCGAGTTGAAAGTCTCCAGGTTGCATTTAACCCCCCAAAGGATGGATGAATATCAAATCCAACCTTTTCAATAAAATTTCAAAATATAATGGAAGTGTAATTAATGAAAGTTGGATTCTGAATATAGTCAAGTAAAATACAAGAAATGAGTTTTGCCTTAACTTTTTAATATAACTTCTGACATTATTTTGCCTTTTCACAACAGAGATTATTTGAATCCTTTCTGTTGCCCTGCACATTGTAATAAAATGGTAATTTTATAAAGGGTAGGTTTTTTTTTAAAGGAGGCGTCTGAAAGTAAAAGCATAAATGTACATTGAAATATGAGACTAATATTTCAGTGCAATGTAAAATGAAATTGAGTATCTGGAAGTTCAGATGGAGGGCTTAGCGTTACCTACTATGTTTGTGTTTGTAACATTGGATAGTTAACCGAGAATTATCAGCATTATAAATACTAATGTTTCTTTGATGTTGATTAAAAATATTAATACAGCAACCTAGCAGAAAGAGTTTATAAATGATGGAAGACTAAATGTTTTAGCTTAATTGGAAACCATTAAATTCGAAGTAAACAAGTCCATCTTGGATAATAAATTAACATTCTTCAATCGGAATGAAGCAAGAACTGTTAAATAAGAATGGCTGAGTAAGGAAATACATTATCACTTCTCACTCAGTCTATAATCGTAAATAATCACCTGCCTTTTTAAAAAGAGGTAAATTAAATGCCCTAATGTTAGACTAAGTCTCTTGTGGTGCTTTTTATTGTATTCATTTAGAGCAGTGTTGGGATTTTTGCAGCAATATGTTGCTGAAATTAAACTCTCAGCGGTTTTAGTCAGAATAGGAATTCTGGAAGTTGATAGTCAGCAATATTTTCTGCACATTTTGTAGTGAGTGGAATTGAGTAGAGTTGGCCTTCCTTAGATTCAACCATCCACAACTTGAAATATCCCACCTGCCTGCCAAACCAATCCAATTGCCATTTTATAAAAAGACCTTCATCATCCATGGGTTTTGGTATCTGTGGGGGACCTTGGAATCAAACTTCAGCAGATAATAAAGGCCCACTATATTTTGTTTTGTCTTGTCTTATCTTACTTTATTTAATTGATGAGTACTATTTTTCCATAATTGATATAGCATTTACCGTGACTGACTTTTTGCAGGGAATTTTAAAACACGTTGTTACTGTGTGTCTATTGTCTCATTCAAATAGCTTAGGAATTGAAGTTTCTCCAGCACACACTATCTTGACATGTGAATTAATACAAAAATGGTTTAAACAAAACAAGAAGTGAATACAGACTTGCAAATATGAGTATTATACATGTTCCTATCTTAATATTTTTTCTAGCTTTTTTATTCCCACTTATAAACATATGAAATGAAAAGAAAACAAAGGAAACTTCCCCAAATACTAAAATTCAGACCTTTTACTGCCAGAGATAGGTACGAAGTAGGAAGAATGGCCCTTGGATTCTGGAATTCACCCAAGACTGCTACACATCCCAGAGAATTAGGAATTAATCCTTAGCTTTTGAATATATGCAGAATTCATTTCCCATGGCAGTAGTCAAAGAGGATTTTTTTCCAGGAAGATTAATGGTTTGTAAAAAATCAATCGGGAATTATTTGTGTAATATTGGCAGTGTTCTGTTGGTATTCAGTTTCATTGGGATTTTATACTTGTAGTCTAGATGTTTGTAAGCTTTTGGGGATCTTGTACCCCTTTGAGAATATGATAATGGCTAGAGGCTTCCTATCTAGCGAGAAAAGCACTTAATTTTTAAAATAGGGAGAAAATTAAAGGGGATTTTTTTTTACAACCCCCTGAAACCCATCACAGTTAAGAAACCTTGTTCTACTTAGTATTCAGTAACTTTTAGACCACAAGCTGAACACGTCAATTATATATTATATTTATATATTTGCGGTATTTGTATACTGCCCTTCTCAACCCCGAAGGGGACTCAGGGCGATTCAAGTGTGATGTCAACAGTGTGATGTGACTGTTAAAAAAGCCAATACTGTCTAGATTGAGGAAAGTCATAGTCTCACTGTATTCTGCTTTGGTCAGACCTCGCTTGAAATAATGTGTCGCATTCTAAGCACCACAGTTCAAGAAGGATATTGACAAGCTGGAAGGTGTATGAAGGAGGGAGGCCAGAATGATCAAAGGTTTGGAAACCAATCCTTATGAAGAACAGCTTAGGGAGCTTTAATATGTTCAGCTTGGAGGGGAAAAAAAGGCTGAGATGAGACATGATAGCCATGTTTAATTATTTGATAGGATGTTACATTACGGAGGGGGCAAACTATTTTTTCTCCTTCTCTGGAGACCAGGGCAATGGAGCAATGGATTCAAACTGCAGGAAAAGAGGTTCCACCTGATGGCGGGAGCTGTTTGGCAGTGGACTTTGCTGCCTCAGAGCCTGGTGGAATCATCTCTGAAGGTTTTAAAGCAGAGACTGGATGGCCTTTGAATGTGCTTTTCCTGTATGGCAAGGGTGTGGACTGGAGGCCCTTGTGGTATCTTCTAACTCTAAGCTTCTATGATGGATTTTTTTTGTTTGTTAAATTGTATGTGTGTCTTGGTCTCTCTATAGTGTATAAAAGCTAGAACTGTATCAGCTTTTTCACCTAACTGATGTGATAAACTGACAGATCCAATCCTCTCCTACTCTCAATATGCCAAGAAATTGTACTGTATTAGGCTTGGGTAACCACGGAAAAATTTGGTTCTAAACTCGTTTTGTTTTTAGGGGGCCCTGGCGTTTCGTTTTTTTTAATAATTCCAAAATTTTCCTTTTAAAAATTTCGAAATATACAAAATTTCGTATAATTACGAATCGATTCGTTAATGGCGGACGCGATTGCGCAATATGCTAAAAAAACCTCCAAATGGGACAGGGGGAACTTCTGAAGCTTCCCTCTCCCTCTGTTGTTGACTGTTGGTGTGATAAAACAAACAACAACTATAAAACTTGCACCAGACATGCGAAAATAATTACGAAATAATTACAAAATAATTACGAAATAATTACGAAATAATTACAAAATAATTACGAAATAAATTGAAAAAATTGTTTCGAATCTAATTTACTCCTCACACTATTCCTGCATGGCTCAATATTGGATCGTAAGCTAATTTAAATATGAATTAATAACGAATTACGAAATTAAAGAACGAAACCGCCCAAGCCTAATATTTATGCCTATTGACTATTGCTGTTTCTTTCTTTCTGGGAAACCTGTTGAGTACTGACAGCCAATGTCTTATGAGCTGGAACCAGTTCACAGGCTGCCACTTTGAATAGCATTATCTTATAGTGTGTAAGTATTACTTTACAATGCTTTTTCCTGCTTCCATTGACACTTTCTTTAATGTTACAGGACGCTCCACCACCAGGATCCTACGATGTTCAAAAATCATTTGAAAAATCACAGTGTAAAACTGAGTATTTGCCTCCACGAACCTTAATGGCTAAAAAGAAACATACTTCTTTTCTCAGTGGGACATTTAGGGAAAGCGTATCAAGGACTGAAAAGGATTTGCCAGGTATGTCAAATACATTTGTAAATAACCCTTCTCTATGCTATTCAAAGCTTGTGTGTGCGTGTGTGTATGTATGCATGTATGTATGTATGTGGCTAGAGTTACATTTGTTCCAATTTACATAACAAATTCAACTTAAAACAAGCTGACAGAATCTATCTTGTTTGTAACTTGGGGTCTGCCTATATATTAATTATGTTCAAGGGCTTCAGGTGATCTCTGACTACCACATTTGCCTTTTAGTTTTTTTAAAAAAAAGATATTTTAAGATACTTTAACCATTTTCTTTAATGTACAGTAGTACTGTTTTAAATCCATCTTAATCATGTTCCTTGGATGACTATATCTCTACATATCTGCAAACTCTTCTTGACATGAAACACCTTATCTATTTCAACTTTTACTCTGTTCATCTGGACAAATTTCTGACACTTCAAAAGAACTGATCTAGAAACTAGCATGTTTCAGAGAAGTGCAAAGTTTGTGCCTGTGGGAATAAAATGTGGATAGTGGAGTGCTTTAGTAAGGTTACGAGCAACAGAAGAAAAATGTGAGTTTTCCCAGAAAGGGATTTTATAGGAAAAAGGAACTACCATAAAAGACAGTTTATTGACTATTGAAAGCTGTCCCACAAAAGATAGGGGAGAAGTGGAATAGAAGTAGCAGAGCAAAAGAGGTTGTGTGCGGATGCTTTAATAATCAAAGGAAAGAATTCAGTGTTACATAATGGAATCCAGAAACTTGGTAAATATGAGAAGGGAGACAGTCACACTTGTCCTGTACCCCCCCCCCCCCCCCCCCTGAAAACTGTTTGAAAAGAAAGGAAGAATCGATATCCTTACTCTCAGGGTAAATCTAAAGAGAGACAGAAAGATGAGCTTTTCCAGGCAAAAGCCATGGGATGCTGGAGTACAGAAAAGGACACCCAGAGCATGATGTTCTAGAGGTATTCAAGTTCTGAGTATTGCAAACAAGAGCTCTGCTAAGAAGAAGAACTGACAGTAAGAGCTGTTTGGCGGTGGAATATGCTCCTTCATAGTGTGGTGGAGTCTCCTTCTCTAGAAGTCTTTAAAAAGAGGCTGGATGACAATCTCTTTGGAAATACTTTGACTGTGTGTTCCTCATGGCAGGAGGTTGGGCTGCATGGTCCTTGTAGTCTCTTCCAATTCTATGATTTTATTATTTTTGTCAAATTGCCTGTTTGGGTGCTGGGACAGAAAAATTCTCTCTCTCTCTCTCTCTCTCTCCAAAGAAGTGTTTGCTATCTATTCATTGAAGAATCATAGAATCATAGAGTTGGAAGAGACCTCATGGGCCACCCAATCCAACCCCCTGCCAAGAAGCAGGAATATGGCATTCAAAGCACCCCTGACAGATGGCCATCCAGCCTCTGTTTAAAAGCTTCCAACGAAGGAGCGTCCACCACAATCCGGGGCAGAGAGTTCCACTGCTGAACAGCTCTCACAGTCAGGAAGTTCTTCCTAATGTTCAGATGGAATCTCCTTTCTTGTAGTTTGGAGCCATTGTTCCGCGTCCTAGTCTCTAGGGCAGCAGAAAACAAGCTTGCTCCCTCCTCCCTATGACTTCCTCTCACATATTTATACATGGCTGACATGTCTCCTCTCAGCCTTCTCTTCTGCAGGCTAAACATGCCCAGCTCTTTAAGAAGATCTTTTGCACAGCAATGTGCATACAACTATAGATTTCTGGGCAAACCTATTTTAGCACTGTGAGACAATTGTACTGAAATGAAAGTTGAGGTATTTTGTCAGCAGATGTTCATTTGTGTTTCAGTAATTATAGTAACCTAATATAAAAAATTACTTCCACTAACTTAATGAAACTATTATCAAATGATGTGGCTCTCATTATAAAGCATCATCTTCTGATAATTAAGTTTTCCTTTACACTTTGCAAATGGTTTTGTGATTTACTCCCACATGGAATTGAAAACAGGTTATTACAGATAAGGCAAAAGAAGGTGGTGTTTTTGGCTAGAACCCAAAGATGAGTTTATGTCAACACAGGGGGGTTTGCTGGCTGATTGGGTTTGGATCTCCACCACTACAAACCTATGTGCACTTAAGATTGTTAAATACCACAACAGCATCATGCTATCTTCTCCTGCATTCATTCTGTATCACCTTTGTCTAATGAAACAAGCTTTGAAGAACAGCATTATTCACACTTTCTGACTGGTTTAATAATGTGTCACCAATGCATATTTTATAGTTAAAATCTCTTGGTGGGCTCTAATTTGTGGAATCACCATAGGATGAATTCCTATCCCATCTGATCTTAGAAGCTAAGTGGGGACAGCACTGGTTAGTACATAGATGGAAGACCATCAATGAATACCAGATGCTATAAGCTAGATTTCAGAGGTAGTAACTAGAAATTCATCTCAGAGTATTCCTTTCTTAAGACACACCTATGAAAGTCATGCCTAAGAAAACCCAGGCAACTTGAAGGCACAGACACGCATACACAATTCATGGGATCACCATAGGCTGAAACTGACATGACAGCACATAACAATAACAACATGACATCTAATGTAGGTTGAAGCTGACTTTGACAGCACATAACAACAGCGAATCATGATTCAGCAAGGTTTTCATCTGAATAACATGCTCAGGATTGATCTGTAAGACATCTAAAACAGAATTAATTTGTGATCTTAGGAATTTGGATCAAGTAAAACTATCTGTATGGGATACATTCCTGTGCCTACTGTAAAGCTGTGGATAGGAATGAACCCTATTAAAATGAATGACATACATCAGAAACATACCATAGATTCATGCTAGAGCAGTAGTTCTGAACCTGTGTGTCCCCAGGCGTTTTGGACTACAACTCCCAGCTAGCTGGCATTGCCCCCCCCCCCAATGTGCGACGGGAAGTTGCTGCTAACTGTGAGAGAAATAAGGTTGAACACTGTGAAAGCCATCCACTTGGCTATCAGCCTCCTCCCAGTAGTCTCAAATCAAGTAAAAGCTTAAGGAGAACCACCACTTCTCTTAATGTTTTCCCCAGCAACAGCAAGGGTATCCCACTGGGCAGCTAAACCAGGAAATCCCAATTGGATGGCCCCCACAAAAGTCTTCCTCCAGGAGTAAACTAAGAATGGGCAACTTGGAAGTCCCTGAACATACTCAGAAGTGGAGTGGGCAGATCAAAAAACAACCTGGCAAAATGGCATTTCCTAGAAGAATCCTCCTCCTTGTACAACTGTGGAGCAGAACAAATAATTCTGCATCTTTATGCTTGCCCACAATACCCTGCCTCATACACAGAGGTAGAATTTAAAGCTACAGACAGTGCTGTTGCTGTTGCCCATTTTTGGTCTAAAATAATTATAACTGCTTGTGCTCCCTCCATTTTATCAGTTTACTTGTTTATTTGTGCAATGCTTTTGACACCAAATAAAAATAAAACTCATTAGTTTCTGATGGAAGCATACCATAAAATCATGCTGGAAAACTTAGTCAATGCTTATAGAGAACGTATTATTTTGGGCACAGGTAAGTGAAATTTCAGGTATTTGTCATGCAGACCGTGGGGTCGTGGTGTATGTTTGGGTCTTCGTATTTTTATGAAAAAAAATCATTGTAAAAATATGTTAATGTAAACACAATGAAGGCAATTCTTCATTGGGAATTACCCAGTCCATAATACGTACTTACTTGCATACCTGATCTCTTCCATTACTATCTTTGCTACTTTGTATTTGGTAGCCGATTTGAGACGTGTGCAGCATAGTCTACTTCCTATGTGTTTGATGTTTAACAAATAATTAGTCATAATGTGGAGCAGTGCACTCTACCATAATTCATTCATTGTGTTAGTTACAAAAGCCACTGTTTGAATCAGCATCCCAAACTCATTATGCTTCTTGGCACATTCCTACAGGAAATTACTTTAGGTAACAAATAGAATTTATCTTCAGAATTAATTGGACAGATCACATAAAGGTAGTTGTGTCCACTTTTCCTATGACTTCACCCAGTTTCTTCTTATATAAAAGTTACTGTAGTGTGAAAACTAATTATTTCTTCTATTTGCTTGTTGGCTTGTGATATTACATTTCAAAATAGTTGAAAGTCTTTACATCAGAACTCTTCTAGAGTTTAAGCAAGCAGCTCAAATCCCAAAGTTCATACAGAGTTTTCTAGTTTTTCTTCTCCCAGATGTATGGAATGGGCTGGTATATTGACTTTGCAAAACATAGGACCAAACTTTGGAAAATATGGTCACTTACAAACAATTGAAGCTTTCAATGCAGAGAGATTAAAATATGTTTTTAGCAGGTGATGTGTCTGAACAAGCCACAGTAATGCATTTTGTTTAGAATACTGTCACGCAATGTGCTTGGGTCTGCCTTGGAAGTGTGTCCTGAATCCTCAATTGGTTCAAAATGTCAGAGTATTGACAACCATGTAACATTAATCTTGTTTGCTACTGGTTTATTTGTGGATATAACTCAAAGTTTGGCTATTACCTATAAAACTCTAGACAAATTTAGTTCAACCTATACAAGTTAGTGTAATTTTCAGATCTGTTGAAGAGTCTGTTTCAGAGATCCACCAGATTCAGAGGTATGTTTGACAAGACTATAAGACTGGGATTTCTCAGTGGCTGCTCCCAGACTTCCAGAGAAGACTAGTTTGGCCCAATTTTCATTCTATCAGCAAGCAAATATTATTTTATTTAGTCAGGCATTCAGCAGCCAAATACCTGAATGGATTAGGCTTTAAATTCTTATATAAAGTTCAGCTTTATTTATTGTGGTATTTTTAAACTATTTATCAAGGCTATGTTCAAACCAGTTTAATGGACTTTAATAGATATAATTTGACAGTCAGCATAGTGTTGTGACTTGAGCATTGGAGAAACAGGGTTTAAATTCATGTTCAGCCATGTAAGCTCATTGCCCGTGTCATACTCTCTCAACCTCAGAGGATATCAAAGAAATCCTGCCAAGAAAATCATGAGATAGGTTC